TACCCTTTGGGACAGTATGGATGGACCTGGAGAATATTATGCTAAGTGAAATAAGCCAGTCAGAGAGAGACAAACATCACATGATCTCGCTTATATGTGGAATCTAAAGAACTTAATAAACTGATGAACAAAATAGATTCAATGACATGGAAGCATGAGTCAGACTGATCAATGTCAGAGGGATGGAGGGGGGCGGGTGGGTGGAGGGGGAGAGAGTAACCAAAGAATTTATATGCATATATGCACAACCCAAGGACACGGACAGTGGTGTGGAGAGGGACTGGGAAGGGGAATGGCATGGGGTGGAAAGGGTCATTGGAGAGAAAAAGGGACATCTGTAATATTTTAAACAAAAACAAAACAAACAAAATAAGCAAATAAATAAAGCTTTAGGTATTAAGCTTCCACAGGGTAACAAATCAACTCCTAAAACTTCAAAATAGACTAATTTAAAAATGTCTACTGTTCTTAGGGCCTCCTCCCAGAGGGCAATAATTCAAGGTGAGGGCATCACTGCACTCTCTCCCAAGGTGTGGCTGTGCGAATACTGAAAGGATGACAACTAAACTTGAGGCTAATTAAATTTTAAAGAAAATAAGACCTGGGTCTAGCAAGCTGAAGCTTCCACTTGAAGAAGGATCATGGGGTTGAAACAGACAATATTCTAGAAATAAACATATGTACAGCTGCCATGAAGTTCCAAAAGAATAAAAAGTAGACAGTGAAAAGCAAGTCCCCAGCCTCACCTCGTCTAGTGAGGGCTAAATATCCAGAATAAAGAACTCCTACAACTTAGCAACACAGCCCTATTCACCCGGCTCGCCTTCTTTCAACCATTTATAGATCACAAATGCATTAAGTTTTGTTTGTACAGTCATTTATTAGCTCTTAATAGGTTATTTAGAATATTTTGCTTTTATATTAAAAAAAAAAAAAAGGCTGCAATTAAAACCTTTTTGTACAAGTATGAATATAGCCCCAGAACACACTTCTGGAATTATCATTTTTTAAAATATGTTTTTTATTGATTTTTGAGAGAGAGGAAGAGGGAGAGAGAAACATGGATCTGAGAGGGAAATATCCTGCACCCCCCTTCTAGGTATGAAGCCTACAGCCGGTGTATGTGTCCTGACTAGGAACTGAACTGGCAACCCTCAGGTGCACGGAAGGACACCCAACCAACTGAGTCACACTGGCCAGGGCCACCAGGACATTTTAATGGCTATCCTTATACTTACCTTTATGCTGCCTCTATTTTATTTTCTCCTCTTAGAATAAATTCCTAGAAGTCCCTGGGAAGTGCTGAGTCGAAGAGATTCCCCATTTAAAGTATTGATCCACACTGCCAGATTGCCTGCCCAAAAAATGTTTCTGCTACGCCTTCTTTGCCCAAAACAGCAACCTTTCTTTCTGAAGGGCATCTGCAGGACCTTCTCTGCCTTTCAAGATGGCATCGTACTTTTTACTGCACAACATGTGACTAATAGGTCTGCCTGTTCATTAATATTCCTATTTCATAATTACAGGCAATTCATCTAGTTTAAGTTAGAGGGAGGTGGAGTGTTCAGATGGGGATGGAAGAGACCAAAGAGAAATCTGACCAGTATTTCCCCTGAAGGGGCCAAGAAAGAGGGGGAAAAACAATTAGGAGGAATTAGTGATGGAAATTCAACAGACACAGAAAGGGAAGAAGGTAAAGAAATATATATATATCTAAGTGAAATAGAAAAAATGACAAATTAGGTTATGAAAGCACGTGTTCAGGTCCATCACAGATGAGCCACATCAGTACTACCCGTGAGGCTTTCAGAAAAGACCTTGACAGCAGGGACTTGTTCTCAAGTCTACCCATAACTGAAGAGTCCTTCCTTTGAAAATTCAAGGACAAGAGAAGAGAAATAACTTCACTGAACAGAAAGTATGTATTTCAAGCTAGTGAGTTCAAAGTTACTTTTAAGACCAATTAAAAGAATTGCCTATTTAGTCAACCCTAAAAACTGACTCACCACTGAACATATGCTTGACCACACTCACAATGATTCTCCATATTTCTTTGGATTTAATATTCATCTTTGCTGCAGAACAGCTAGCATGAACATCAGCCCTATTCAAACATCTTTCATTAAAAAAGTTTTACTCCACTGAATGATGTAAAAAAACAAAATAAAATAATTTCTGAAAATAGTGAAGAAAAAGCCCAAGGCAGAATATTCCCTGTTAAAGTGTCAGTATAAATTCTAAACCATCTGCTACCATGATCCATCACACTCCACAGCTGTCACTGCGCCTGGGGAGGAAGCGCAGTGTACATTAACTTGCTTCCACCTCCACAATCCAGATCAGAGCAAGAAACCAAAATGTATCTTGCTGATAATTACCAGTAGCATCCCAAATCAAATCAGTGTAATTACACCTCAGAGAGACATTATTCTTGAAACACACCCAAGTGTGGTCACGCAGTTCTTATCTTTCATTATCCTTGAGGGAAAAATACAGTAATCAACAACAGGTTCTTTAGAAGGAATTTTAAAATTAGAACTGGAGTCATGGAATCAGATGGGAAAAAATCTATGAAAATTTTAAAACAATCTAGAGTTGACGACAAAAGCATTAAATCATATAAAAATACTTAATGGGAAATTCAGAAAATAAAACAGAAAGGGGCATTTGTTTGTGTTAAAATAATTTAATTCTCCCTGTACATTTCTGCCCGCAAGAGCCCACAGAAATCAAGAATGCACACTTTACAGTATTTACCTGTTCTGAGATATTCAAGTCCACTCAGATGGCAACAGTAGAATTCAGTCACTAATGGAAATGTTTAAAAATATATATTAAACAGAAAAATGTTTTTACAAGGTAAAAAATAATCTTCCACAATGCAATAAATTGCAGATCACTGAAATTTTAACTTTAGATGATTTCAGTTCAGTTTTTGGTTTCAAAATCTAAAGACAATCAAAAAGAAAAGGCGCTGACAGAATGTCTATCTGTTTCTGCGTTTCTCTTTCTTGCTTCGACTACTTGTTATGCCATTTAGAGAAGATGACGAAGGTGCTCTTGCATGACCTGTGGCCTTTAGATGCTCAAATAGTTTATTCCGAGATGGAAACTCGCTATGGCAGGTTGTACAGCTCATAAGAACGTCACTCTGAGAGGGGAAAGAATCATAAATAAAAGCAAGTGTTATCTGAGAGCAGTGCCATATGGAAGTTAAGTCCCATTAACCAACACCATCAACCTTAGGAGGCCTGAGACACTGAATAGCAAGCCCCCCGTGGACTAGACCAAGGCTTGAGATTTCAAAGTAATGGAAAACAGAATAGTAACTGTTTATACAAGCTGGTATTTCCAATGTGCCCCTCTTTACTTTAAAGAAAAAAATGATGGCAGCACATGTATAAATTCTACATTTGTCCAGGAAAAGTGTTGACAGATCCACAACTATTAGCAAGTGCAGAGGGCTGACCGAATACACTTACATCTTTAGAACTGGAAATAAGAGTTTAGATTATGCTGCTTAAAGAAGGTCCACTAAAGAGATGTCAATGTGACTTTGACCTACCATTGTCTGTGGCTCAGCAGATACTCTGACAGATTTTTTCGTATCTTTGGCTTTCTTTCCTCTGGGTTTAGGAACACTGGAAAATAAACAAAAGAAATCAGCATAATCCAATAATAATGCACCCCTTCTAATGGTCCATTTTGCTCCCAAGAAGATTCAAAAGAATGACATGGACTTTAAGGGCCAATTCATTAATTTTAATAGCCATGTTGATTAATTTTCACATTTGAAATAAACAGCTTTAAAGAGTAACCTTAGAGATCACATTATATATCAGATTTAACACAAAAATTAAGAAATTTACTTAAAACAGTTGAAACATAAGCTAAAACAAGGCCCCTCAGATTCTCTAAATTTTCACACTATGTGTTTTTGTTACAAAGCAAACCACTTAATATTCCATTTATTAAAGCAAACCGTCTTCACAGCCAACCAGTACTACTCACAAATAGTGCAGGACATAGAGTATGGTTCCCCCAAACACAACTTCCTGAACCTGACCCAGTCTGGTAAACATCCCAACAGTTTCACAATGAAATGAAATGAGAAAAACAGAGACACTATAATGCACTTTTCATAAAATTAAATCTGTTCAACATAAAGAATTTTTTTTTCTTAAAAGGTTTGTCCTCTCTGCTGATCTGGTAGGTTTTCCCCCCGGACCTTTTAACCCAGTAGAGTGAGTTTCCTCCTAGTCCACTTTAACTCCTGAACTTTCCTCTTCTCAATCTTCTACGTGAATTTTAACTTTCCCTAGGCATTTCATACTTTCCCTCACTTGTGCCAACCTCATTCTTAGGGAAAATCCAAGTGCAACTATATTTACAGAACAGACAGGATGGGTTATAAGGGATGAGTTATGATAATTCTGCCGTGCTATTCTTCAAGCAGAAACCACAAGTCTGTATTAAGTTCAATGTCCTATACAGGCAAACCTCGTTTTATTGTGCCTCACAGATGTTGTGTTTTCTACAAATTGAAGGCAAGCCCGTCCACCAGAAAAAGATTACAACTAGCTTTACTGTGGTGGTCTGGAACCACACCCGCAACATCTCTGAGCTATGCCTATCCATTTGACAGATGCTTAGTAGGGTGGAACACATTGCAAGGAATCCAGCCAGCTTTGAAAGCATCGAGAGAAGGACATATGGCATAAAAGGCTAGAGATTAATAGTTATCAGTTTACAAAATATCATCACAGACATGCCACAAATACAACCAAGAAAACTTAGGATAATACTGGAGACCAATTTATCATATTATGAAAGACAGCAGCTGCATCCCTGGAGCCAATACCCAAGAGGTTTATTTTTTTTAAAGTACTCTAGATAACACACACTTTTTTTAATGAAGAACTTCTCACTAGGTGGCCAGCATCAGGAAGCTGAGAGCAGCAGCAGAAGGGTGCCCCAGAAAGGCACTGGACACGTATGTGTGTGTGTGGCCCTGACACTCCTCAGCAGTGAAGAAGTCACTTGAATTCAAGTCCTTAAAGCCCAAAGGACACTCCACTGTGCCTGCATTGCTGCTCCAGAGCTGAGCATTTTCAATCAGGCTCCCACTCTCCTTTGTCACTTGAACTCCTTTACAAGGTCCTGTGACAGTGACCTCAGGCTACTTACTCTTCAGCTCTTTCCTCAAGGTGTAAGAAGTAATTCTGCTCTAGAGGAACACAGGAGGGTGGAGACAGTGAACTCACTGTGGGGCTCCACACAGGGCGACTGTCACAGCCATGGGCTAGGTCAGTGACGCTCCAGTGAGTGGGGCACAGCCTCATCAGTAGCCTTGTTCTCATGTGAGGTCAAGGATGACTGATGCAGGAATAAAGGAGGACCTCAGCAGGATGCGGGAAACAATAGCTGGATCAAAGTGGCCTCTTTGTGACTTTGGCCTTGTTGCTGAAATGGCCAAGAACATTCCTCTAGCACTCTCTTTCCAACATGCTTCATCTGGATGCACATCTGGATGTATACACACCGACAGACACATCCAACTCACCCCATCGCCATGGGAAAGGAGATTCTATTTGATACATGAAAAGGTCTCCTCACTGCCAGTACTAAGTAAACAGAAGACCACACACACCACTGACTTACCTTTTAGCTTCACTTTTTGGGTCATCACACAGTTGAACAGTCTCTGTGACACTGACACTTTCTTGGGGACTGTCTGCTAATTCTTTGGCACTCTCTTGATCTAAGTTATCTTCTGGATCAACTTTTACTCCTTCTCCAGCTCCATTTGCAATGAAATTATCATCATAATTCTAGGTAGTAACATGCATGCATTACAAAATAAATACTATAATAACACTGGCTTCTTATGTCATGTTGCCAAATAGTGATAATAAGTAATGATAACAGCCTGTGCCTGGTTGGAGGGTATCTTCAGGTGTGTGCACCCAGCCCTGACACTCCTCAGCAATGAAGAAGTCACTTGAATTCAAGATCTTAAAGCCCTAAGGACACTCCACTTAAATCAAGATCATTTTAAAACATGAATGCTCTCCCTACCTGATATTTCACAATTCTCAGTATTTTCTGCTTCCTGCTTTTTAATCTACCTGTCTCATACTACCTTCCCCTTCAAAATGAACTTAGGAAATATCAGGAATAGTGCTACATGTATACAACTAGGTCTTTCTCTGGGGTTTTCTCCCTGATATAGTCAGGAATCATAAATAGTAAGTATTATCAAGGAATAAAGCTGTAGAAGGAAAAATGGGGTGGCAAACTGAAGCACTTTCATGGGTGAGAACACAAACGCATGTATTTATCATTCAGTCTTCTTTATTAGCCAGCCCTTCAGGGCTCCAGATGAGGTGGGCCTGGGTTAGGGCAAATCCCTCACCACTTTCCTTGGTCCATAGTCTAGTGGCTCTGGCCCCCACACACAGAGAGACAGGCTTCTAACTAACGGCTGTAGTGTGTTTGGATGGAAGATGACATGAGTCATTTCATACAAAGAACATACAACTTGCTTTGTGGTTTTATATTTGAAACAAAAAGTTCCAAGTCACAATTTTAACAGGGGTTAACTCGTGTCATATATCATTTTTGGAGTATGAAACAGGTAAAAATTATCGAGTATATTATAACTATTTGGATAAACCAAATCTAAGGTTTTATGAAAAATTTTTAGTGTATTACCTAGGTTTTCATTAAAACATTTTCAGTTATTAAAAATAACTATAACATTTAATACTTAATATAAGCTAACATAATTAGATTATATGAAAATAGCACAGAAATCAATTTCATTCCCTTTAGAACTATCAAATATCCTTAGTAAAATGGACAAGTTCATTTTGTTTTTATAGATTCAAAAACATCCACAAGACTGTTACACACATATATCCATAGAATCCCTTTTTAATTTAAAAGTAGTCAGCCCAGTGTATCAGCAGGTTTTGTATCCTCGGATTCAACCAGCTGGATGGGAACCTGCAGATGCAGAGGGTAGACTGTATGCTTTGTTCCGTGCCGTTCTATTCAAGAGACTTGAGCATCCATGGATTTTGGTATCTGTGGGAGGTCTGGAACCAATTCCCCCACAGATACTGAGGGAGGGCTGCAATTCTTGAATTTGGACCCGGGATTTGAAATATTTAAACTACTTAAATTCCTGAGAAATATCAACAAATATTCTTTCAATAATCACAATTACTGCAAAATTTCAATTATGCTCCCGGCAGAACAAACTTGGTTATACAATGTTCAATCCCCAGATGTCACGTGTCCAGATATTTTTTTAAATATGGTCACTTAGCTAATTAGTATTAGGTGACTTCCACATGCAAAATTTTTAAACACACTGACAATAGTAATTAAATAAATTAGCTACATATGTAGAAGAGAGGGGACTAAAAAAAGAAAATATTTTCAATTTCTTTTGTTTTACAATCAACATAAAATCAGTGCAAAAGTCCTTTTCCTTAATACAGATTATACTGAACAAACAAGAGCACTACAACTCTATATTTGATATTTAATATTGATGAAACTTTTTAACATACCTGTGTTGGTTTCTGTTTCTTTTTCTTTTGTTTTTTAGAAAGCCTAAGGACAAATATAAATCAAAATGTCAAGTACTTGACTTTGTGAAGACATATGAAGTAAAAAGAAAAATACTAAAACACTAGTGACAGAGAGAAGCAAAACTTAAAATTATTAATACCATAAAGTATTAAAAGGAAAAGAAAATGTTCACATTATTATTTTAGAAAATTATAAACAGTTCAATTGATAGTAATCAGCATATCAATTATCTAGGTATGAAACTGCTTCTACATATATTCATAATATAGTCTGGAAAAATTCTATTTCACTCATGTCTTTACCCATCTCAATACTATAAAGTTCCCTTAACTGGAAGAAATGCAGAAAATACTGGCAAACAGAGTGACTTGAGCTACAGGAGCATTTAAACGCGCGCTCGGGGTCACAGTGCGCCTGCGGCGTCCCTAGAAGTACCTTAGTTTGGGTGCGCCCTCCACTTCCTCCTCAGAATTGGCATCCAATACACTCTCGTCAGCCTGAGAGCCTGAAAAGTTTTCTTCCTCCTTCTCCAGCTGCTGTTTTAACAAGGCCACCATTTCCCGATGTCTCTTAGATTTTTCGTGATTCCGCATGCTGAAAGAACAATCCGACATAACTGGACATGTGCAACCCAGTTACAATTTACTCTTTTCTGATCAACTAAGCCAGGGGGTGGGGAACCTTTTTTCTGCCACGGGCCATTTGGATATCTGTAACATCATTCGAGGGCCATACAAAATTATCAACTTAAAAATTAGCTATGAGAAAAGCTCCTAGATTTACTGAATTTTGAGTCCCGCCTGCGGTTGCCTTGGCAGGGCCAGACCAAGTGATTTCACAGGCATATACGGCCTGCGGGCTGGACATTCCCCACCCTGAAATAAGCAGAATGGTAGTGACACTATGAAGAGAGACAGAACTCTCAGGATTTCTTACGCCCAAGTACACTGGAAACCCAGGACTCCATTCTTTTTCCTGTACCCCAGAATGCTCCCCTCCTTCCTTTGGCCTATGCACATTCTCCCTACTTTTTTCTTCAAATTCTCTATTATTTTTATTTTCCAATTCTTAAAATTCAAGCCTTCTCCACTCTTTCATCTTAATCACTAATTATTTGCTAAGTGTTATAAGTTCCCGGGTGTGCTATGGGCCTTGAGGCATCACTGGGATATTACACAACAAACAATCTAACTTTAACAGGAAGCTACCCTGGACCTGAGAGACAGTGACGTGAGGTCTTGATGTATAAGAGTAGTTTACCTCCTTTTGCTTTTATCAACAGCTGTCTTTCACCTTTTCGGAAGGGATCTCCCTTCTCACTCCCAACACCCTAAAAGCGACTTCAGACACATGTGTACCCCTGTAAAACTGTGCCCCATGGACAACTAAGTAACCCTTTACAAAACAGAGTTGACAACACTTAGGCTGAGAGAGTTAAATAAGCTAGAAAGTAGGAAGCTTGCATCTCTGTCAACTTTATCTCATCTGTTCAAATTTTCGTTTTCTAGTTTGGGTTGCTGCTCTCCTTCCCCACTAACATTGTCCTTCAGACCAAGGTTCCTTGGAAAATTGAAACATCTTTTGCCAGAAAGATAGTGCTCAAAAATATGACTGGGACATGTCAAAGGACACAGGGGCAAGGTTGAAGGAACTCTCGCTAACCACTGCTAGAAAAATTGGAGCATGAAAAGGGCAGTAATGAATTATAAAACATTGAAAAATTCATAAATTCACTGACAACACACAGGTAAACAGGGAAATGGAAGCTCTTGCTTATAGCTGAAAGCCACATGATGATGACAATGCAGGAGCACTGGCACTGGATAAGCCTAATTTTGGGACCATCACTGTGCAGACTGGTAAAAGCCAAAACCCTCAGTGGGAGCTAAATCTAAGAACTTTTGATGAAGAGCAAGATAGTTTTAAAGTGTCTCCCCACAGATTAAATATGCTATAAGAAAAAATTTGTTGTCAGGGAAAACATTCTAACTTCACAGTGGAAAAACTGGATAGTGCCTTGACTGGGTGATCAAAGTGATCACCACCAATGAGGGGCAGACAGATGTATGTGCCTCCGGACATGAAATCCTGAGAACATGTTTATATAGTATCCCAGCTGGGCCTGCAAAACTTGACCCTAATCGTGAGGAAACGAATCCAAAACGAGAAAAACTCTATTAAAAAAAATTTTCAAGGGCCCATATTCTGGAATATCAATGGCATAGACAAGGGAACTGGGCCAGATTCAATGAGACAATAATGCAGTACATGATCCTAGACGGGATCCTGGATCGAAGTGAGAAAGATGCTGCATAGGACACTAATAAAGGATCACCTGACAAGAGTGGAATATGGACAGGAAATGAGATAAAAGCACTGTATCAATGTTACACAGTTCCCCAAGTTGATAGCTGTACTCTGTGAGGGAATGTCCTTAGGAGCATTAGTATGTCACTTACTCTCAGGTTGCTCAAGAAAAGCTGTGTGTACTGAGGGAAAACAAGCACACAATGGGGAAAGTGTGGGCAAAGGGTGCATCGGGTGCTCTAGAGTCTGTTCTTGCAACTTGTCTGTAAGTCTGACATTACTTCCAAATAAACAATGATTTTTAAAAACTCCCTTCACTGTTGCTTTTGTTCCCTCTCCCTCCTGTTTCTAACTTCTCCACCTCTCCCCACTTCTCCTACTGCTCTATGCCTTTCCCCAGAGGGGTCATCCAGTGAGATCATCTCTGACTCCCACACCTTCATTTCTACCCTTTGGTCTCCTTTCTCTTTACTGTGTGTTTTGTTTCTTTTTCCCTTGGTGATTCTACTTTTTCTCCCATATTCTTTACTCTTTATAACAGTACCCATTTTAATACTTCTCTCCATCAATGTTCCGGAAGATAAAGTCCTTCCTGCTCTCCCTCCAAGGGGCAGGCCTGTGCCTTTCCCCTCCCCAACTCCCTCTTTTCCCTCAGGCTAGTTACCTCCCACTTCAGCAAATGTCCTAGGTTGGCAGCAATGGCCTGTATGGGAGGGTGATGCTGGAAGCGAGTCAGCCACCAACAGCAGAGAGAGATCATGAGCTTCGGTCTAGCCTCCTTGCTCGTGTGATATGCCTTCCTTGCCAATAAAAAGCAACATTTCTTTCTGAAGACGGTGTACGTGTTTACATGTAAAGCAGCTATTGCACAGGAACACTGGTATGACTGAGAATGGGTCCAACAGGCTGACCTGCTGGTACAAACTATTCTTCCTCCCCCAGGATGACCCATGAGGACTAGTGAGCTACTGTTAACAGCGTTTTCTTTTCAGGACTTTCAAAGGCAGAGTCACATGGGCAAGGAGGCTGGTATAGCTGCATATACTTCCCCTCAAAAGAAAAGGTGAGTTCAAAGATGTTACACTTACGCCTTTTCCGTCTTGAAAGATTTGTCACATGCCGGGCAGTACAGTCCCTCATAAAGCTCTGCGTCCTCGGCCTCATCGCTATCTTTACCTGCAGGAAGGAAGCCAACAGTTAAGAACATAAATCTAAAACACGCTAATGAACTACATCTCTTTCGTAAGGATCTACAGTTGGACACAAATTAGAAATAAAATATTTCCTTACAAAAAAACACACAACAACAAATAACACTACCATGACTTGAGTTTACCTATAAAAGCAGCACTAAATTATAAGAAATAAATAAATCACTTTTTCTTTAGCTTTCAAGTTCTTTTCTTAAGCCTACTTAGAAGAAGACAAAAAAAATTCTCAAAACCTTGGGAGTGAGCTAAGTTCAGAAAATCAAATGTTACTTTCATAGTTCTACCGCAAAGCAGTTTTTCAACAAAGTTTTTTAGTTTACCTCTTGAGCAAGATTTTATACAATCACATTTATAACTGTAATCTACTCTTGAATGTTTAAATAAACTTAAGCTTACAACATTCTATCATTATTAAACAAATCACAAAATAGCATATTACATTTAAAGTTTAACATTGCCTCTACAGGCTTTTTTATAAGCGTGAAGATTTACTACAATGGAATAATTACTATTAATATAGTCCAAAAATTTAAGCAACTAAAATGCACAATAAAGTCTTTGCACAATGCTATACTCTATAAGAAATAAAAAAGTAAACTGACTGCCATCTGGGATTTATTATGGGATCAGTAAAGATCCCAAGGCATCTCTTCTCTATTCTATAGAAGGGTTCTTTATACGAAGGGATGTTAATATGATTCGGAAGACCAGGCTCTTTAAAATCATAAATTATCAAAATACATCCAATGTTTAGTATATGGTATTATTTTCCAATTATGTGTACACTTTCAATATATCATATACATGAAATAAACTTTGATTAATCAAATAGTTACTGAAGAATGCTGGATCTAAAGTCAAAATCTGACTCTAAAAATGGTCATATGCTCTCAAGCATATGCCATAGTTTCTCAGGATCTTAAGTTTCTTCATCAGGAAAATGCAACTAATTCTATGAGCAAAACCTCTACTTAAGGGCTACTGTCAGAGTGCTAGCAAGACACCTTGTATGTGAAAGCATTTCATAAATTGTAAAACTCTACATAATTACACCACCTCACATTTGTAGAGTACTTTTTAATTTTCAAAGTACTTTCACACATACTTCTTACTCATTAATAAAACATTCCATTTCCTAATCATTTTGAATAAATAAAAGTTTGTCATTTTATCATTTGGTTTATTAGTCTGAAAAAGCACATTTGTAAACAAACATTTAAGCACACCAAGAGTCAATCTACAAAGTCAGAAATGAGAGGAAGAATTTATATACAGACCCAGTATCAGCTTTTCTGGAAAGGTCTGCTATTAAAATTGACCTACTACTTAAAAGCATTTTTTTAAATAACCAGTTGGTCACACCTATCAATATGCCCCTTTTGTCAATATATTTATACAGCCAGAAGCACAAATTGTTTAAAACATGGTCAGAAAAGTTTGTTAATCAAATGTTTAAAACATGATCAGAAAGGAGTTTATTAATCAAATTATCAGAATTAGACTGTTTCAATAGCCTACCTTTCCTTGGGCCATACAATATTGTTTCCTTCTAATTACCTGCCACATCTAAATATTGGGAGATGTCATATAAAAATCTAGATTTCCAGCTAAGCTTGAAAACCAAACAAACATGAAAACTCTGGCGGAAACTGGGCATTCTCCGGGTTTCTCCTCCTGCACTCTCCATTCTGCTGTCTTATCCCTTTCCTGGCACCTGTGAGCATCCTGAGTGCAGCCCTGTGCACAAGAACATTTACGTCAAGTTTCTTAATGAACGGAAAAAGTTACCATCCCGTCCATCTTTGAGCTCATGTTCCTCCACCTCGTCTTCCTCTGATCCGTCCCCAAACTCCTTTTCATACCGCGCCTCCATCTCCCGGAGCTCCTTCTCCAGGTCCGCCACGGTCATCCAGCTCTGTTCCTTGTACTGCTCTGCCAGTCTAGACACAAATAGCACAGTCTCCGCATTGGCTTTACTTACTCTTTAGGCTTAAAATGCATCCCCTAGAGAGCTTCTTCCTCCCGTGTTGTTGATGCTCACAAACTTAAAACCTGTGCTGAGTTAAAACGGGCAAAATCACTTTAAATCTGTTAGCTGTCACAGTTGATTTTAATCGCTCGACTAGATAATGGGTTTTGAAACACATAACTCTTAGCAAGTGATTTTAAGTCATAAGTGTCAAGTAAAGTGCTCATTTTCAAAAGATGAGGGGTGGGACAGGTAGCATTTTAAAGTAGTTTTTTAAAGAATGCTATATTGCTTTGCACACAATGCTTTTACAGTAACTCAAAAACAACAAAACTTTAAAGGCACCAGAATGACCTACGTAGCTAAGAGGATACCAACAGAGGCAGGACTGCGTGGTGGTTAAAAGCAAGGGCACTGGACTGACTTCCTGGGTCCAATCCCCGCCTCTGCAATTGACTAGCCATGTGATCTTGGGCCCGACCACTTCATTTCCCAAAAGAACGAAGATACAACCCAGAACTTACTTCCAGAACTGTTGTGACATAAGCATTGAGAGCAAAGCCCTGTGCACAGTAAGAGCTCAGTTACCATTAGTTACTACTAAATTTTATAAGAGTCTGGAAAGGATCTCGAATATAAAGGGCCTTGGAAGGAAAACATCCAATTCAAGGACAGTTTTGTTTCACAGTAGATGAAAAAACACTGCACAAAAAAAAGGTGAAACCAGGACAGAAAAAAAAGGTAAAGCCAGGATGATGGTTTAACCCAACGTGAAAGCACAACGTCAGGTATCTACCGACACCCCCTGGGGCCGCACCCCACGTGGGGAAGCACCCGGCTTGCGTTTGGGCGTTCCATACTTGGCCTGCTTTAGCTTGTGCTGCCGCCTCATCTCTTCGGCCTTCCGGGCCTTTTCCGCATTCTGCTCCTCCACCAGCTTCCGATGCGCCTGCACTCTTTTGTCTCTCTTGCGAATGAAAGCTACCAGCTGGCGGACAAGCTCATTCTTCTCTTTCCTTGCTTTGTCTCGAGTCTTTCTGTTTTCTTTCTCCATGGCGCGTTTCTCCCAGCGGTTGGAAGCTTGCCGGGTGTCATATTCCTCTTTCCAAGCGAAGTTCTTTTGCGTGCAGAAGCTCTGCCAGTACGCGTAGAAAGGGTGGACCACCTAGTGACAAGGAAAGTAGGTAAGGCACCAGCTTTTTACTTAGACTCTTTTAGTAAGGCAGCAGGTATGAATGATGCAAAACATCTTTCGTCCTTCGTATTTACCACGATACTATTAATCAAAGGAGAAGATGACAATCCTTCTAAGGCTTTAAACAAAATAAATAACTACTGGGTATGAATTTAACAAGGAAATTAACTGGATCGGATTGCAGTCAATTAGGAGGAAAAAGTAAAAAAAGGGAGACTACCAGGAAGGAAGAGAGAAGAAAGTCACAGGATAGGACTGAGAACTAGAATCCAGTTTTTTAAAATAAAGAAATAGCAAGACACGCTGATCAGTGCTAAGCGTAAAACGGCCGCACATGTCTCACCGTATCATAGTCACTCTGGGAGTCTCCAAAGGTTGGGAAATCCTCAGCATCCTCTTCCAACACCGATTCCAGCTCTTCCTTCGCAATCATTTCAAAAACGCTGCGATACACTGTATAAAAGCCCTAGAAAACAGGCAATAGAAACACAAATTCTTAACACTATAGTCTAATCACAGAATAAGATCTTACAATGAAATGTGAAAAACTCTCCTGTTGAAGAATTACAGCCCCAAGCTCTGTCACTGTGAGTTCAGTTATGTTCCAACTGGAGGTTTTTAATATCCTGATAGTTTAAATATGAAGGCAGTGTTTCTTAGTTTTCAAAATGAACACTGGTTCACTTTCTATTACAGAAGTCTCTGTGTCACTGAGAGCCTTACCTTCTCATCATCTCCATAACCAGAGTAACAGGTGACAGTGAAATAGTGAAGCAAATCTAAGCTGTCATCTTGATATTCTCCATCCAGCCCACCTCTAAGCAGGGCCTCTCTATGATTATCATACCTAAATAGATGAAGAAATTAGCATCATCAGTGAAGGCTAAGTACACAGAATTCAAAAGAAACTTTTACTCTGAAACCACCTAACTGCTATTATTGTATATTTTAATGTGTCCAACCCACAACCAAAAACCTTAAGAAAATCATCAACATGAAAACACAACCTTTCACAGAACTGCTGATTAAAACTATGACTACAACTACTAATCCACTCTAGGCATTACACAGTACTAGGCCACATGAACAAGCGAATTTCATAAGCCAGGAAATTTCCATGACCCTCCCAGAAAGGTAGCTGCATGCCTACAGGAAAGAAACATTATTGGAAAGAGTACTAGTGGAAATAATCTGGTCCACAGACTAATTATACATTTGGGATCTGAGAATTTAGCAACATGTACCAATAAGACTCTTGCTATGTATATGTAAACAATCTAGTAGCTTCATACACATGCAATTACACCACATAACTCTGTAAAGTTAGTTGATATTCCTGTTTGCTACAACAGGAAGTTGAGGCTCAGTGACATAAAATAGCTTGTTGTCCATAATCGTGAAGCCTGTAAGCAGCAAAGTAGACTTCAAAATCAGGTGTCTGCACTGGAAGGACTCTGCTCCCTCCTGGCCAGTGTGCAGTACTGCTTCCACACAACAGCAGAGGGAACAGGCAGGGGCTTTAAATAAAGACACAAGAGAATCCTTGGGCAAGAAAACAACCCAAGATCTAGAGAAGAGGCCAGAGTAAAAGGAAATCAGGAAGAATCTCAAAGTTCCCAAAGGAAGGCAAAAGCATTTCCAAGGCCAGATCTCCAAGTTCCTTGGGAGGAGAAAAAATGTAGGATTTTCTCTGATGTCCATCTAAAAGGCAATTTTAGAGAACTTTCTTTAGAGCCTTTCTCTCTGGAAGCCAGCTGTGAGCACACTGACACACAGAAGACTAATACGCAGCATGGGTACCACCTGCGCTGTGGATGGAACAGCAGGATCCTGCAGTTATGTCAGGGCTCAACACCTATCCTTTTGTGGCAAAAAGTCCATCAAGACTCTGGAAACTCGGAACTCCCAACACAGAAATTGTTTGGAAATGATATTAAATGACCAGGTCATCATTAGTAAAAGTGTCTGTCACAGATGTAGAAGCTTAACTCAAGTTCTTCATATATAGTTATAGGAAAAATATTACAATTCTTGTATTAAAATACTGTATCTGTTTTTTAAGGACAAGTCAGCATTCTTCCTTGTCTGACATCAGGAAATTTGTCATATACCAAAGAGATCCCATTTAATGAGAAGTCACTTCATAAGTATCAAAGTTAAAACTATCTAACATTGCAAACTTTACAATGTCATCAGCTATAAAATCAGACATTGGAGTAATCATTTCTCAGGTTCCCTCCTACCCAAATATTGCATTCTATAGAATGAGTAAGTGATAGGAGCCTCAGAACAAACCAAAAACCATTAATGTATTAAATTGACAACTTAATACATTATTGACAATTCTTCCAAACAAAATACACTAGGATAGAAGGGACAACATGATGCTCACCATGCTCTTTCCTGAGGGTCACTCAACACATCATATGCTGCTTGGATTAATTTAAATTGTTCAGCTGCTTCCACGGCATTATCCAGGTTTTTATCTGTGAAAATAAAGTCACAGAAATTCAGTCATCAAAAAAGTACAAGACAAAATCTAAAAGAGACCTTGCCTATCACAAATGCCATAAACAGATGAGGAGTGCATAAAACAAAGAAAAACAATGAGGGAAAAGCAAAGAGATACTGGATGGTTGATAATCAGAATCTTAGTATCTACTCGAGCAGAGATTCCATGCTTTTCCCGAAGCCTTGGTGCCTACCTGAGCACTCAACCTGAGTATCCACAATGGAAGACCCTGAGTAGTGCACATCATCTTTTTAGGAATTAAATCGGTTAGGAAAACAGTTATTGTTTAGTGCTAGATTACTGTTGTTCACAACATATTTTAAGTTTTTCTTCCTTATTAACATATACCAAAATAAATCTCATAAAGTTTTAAAAAGATACACTAATTCTTCCCTTAGCTGTGCTTCCTTAACCATGGAATTCAGAAAGCATCTTTGCCTCAGGGTAGCAGCCAGCTTCCAAGCCAGCCCACAAGGATCTCCACCTCCTGGCATCACACCTTGTGCGGTCCCCGCCCAAGTCACCAGGGGTGGTCTGTGTGGCCAACAGCAGGCAGCAGAAGTGAGAAGTGAGGATGGCATGGTGTGGTACTTCTGAGATGGTTGATACAAGAGAGCAGTTTCAATCTTGGGTTCTCTGGGATCACTTTGGAAGTAGCCAGTTGCCATAGCATGAAGACACTCAGGTGGCCTATGGAGAAGCCAGGTCATGAAAAAGAGGCCTCTGGCCCACAGCCAGCAAGCAACCGAGGCCTGCCAACACCATGTGAATGAGCTTGAAAGTGGGTTTTCCCAGACAGTGAAGATACAACCTCATGAGAAACCCTGAGTCAAAACCACCCAGCTAAGCTGTTCCCAGACTCTGATCCTCAGAAACTGGGAGTCCATAGAATGAATGTTTGCAGTGTTTGTTGTTTTAAGCCCTAAGTCTCTGGTCATTTGTTACATAGCAATAGAAAACTAATATACTGAGAAGTAAAATATTTGAATCTACTGTGGAGCACACCAGAGCTCTTTAAACTACAGCTCCATAGTTGCCCTCTAAGAGTCTAGAAGAAAATATGACAAACATGTATTCCCTACAATGGTCTGGCAGCCTTAGAACAAGGCCCTTGAGGGCATCCTGTCTCCTCCTCTCAGGTACTATCGTGGATCCCAAGTCCTTTAGATGGTCTTCTGCTCAACTAAGAGAGACAATATTTTCTCAAGGCAGCAATTTGCCATAGCTCTTTTTGCTAAGATGCTTTCGCACAAAAAGCTTTCAATATTATTTTAGAATCATGATCCCTTAGAACTGAAAGGACAAAAATCTCCATCCCTGGAGCCTACTTATTTGCAAGGAGTAATGCAATGCAAGTCTAATCTACATTCACAGTGCAGCCCATCTGAAGAGAGCCAGTGGGTCATCTCTCAGCCACCTCGTCTCTGGATGACATACTCCCATCCCTTAGGGGACTCCACAATCCTCCACTTCAAATGCAGTCAGAGACAGGCACTGATAGTCAGAGCGAATCATTACTACCTTTCCTTATCACTCTATTTAACCACTCTAGCTAATTACATTAGCCTTTAGCAACATCATCACATAACATCATCCTGAAATTAGAGCTGACAAAGTTTTAAGTATTTTTCATATTATTGACAAGCCAATTGATGCCTGTAACATGGATCTATTCAATTCTGTGGCTGACACTAAAGATCAGATCATCTAACACCCTTCCCCCTTTTCTCTTACAGCCTCCACTAGGGAGGCTGGATATGCAAGTATTCTACCTTATCCAGCCTCCCCTGCTGCTAGAAACAGCCCTGTGACACAGTTCTGACCAATGAGATGAAGTGCAGTAGTGTATTTTCTTTTCTTCTTCTTTCTTTTTGTCTTGAATGTAGACATAGCTGCTAGAGCTTCAGCAGCCACCTTGAGACCGTGAAGGAAAAGCCAAGAGATTCACAGTGAAATTACTGAGCCACCAACACAGGCCAGCAGGCACCTACCTCCAAGCCTTCTTGTGGTGAGAAAGAAAAACAAAACAGAACTCTAAGCCATTATGGTTACCTTTTCTGTTATTTCCAACTAAGACTACCACATTCCATCTTATTGCGGTCCTGTGGCAACTGGGTTTTAGGTGGTCCAGGACACTCAGTGCCCTTCTGTAATTATTTTAGATTCTGATTACCACTGTGACAGATACAACAAGTTGCCTCCCCAGTACCTATTCTCTCCTTCCTCACAAAGCCCTGATTTTGTTCACAGTAGCAATGTAGCCAGTTAAAAATTCTTCCCCAGACTTTCTTGAAGCTGGGTTATCAGGTGACCCAGTTTTAGCCAATCAGATATAAACACATGTCCACTAAGTGAAGCTTCTCAGGAAAGGCTTTGTTTTCCAGATGAAAGGACAGGCTTTGGTGGCACTCATTCTAGGCCCCTAACCTGCCCGTGTCCGGCCGGAAGCCAGGGTATTATAATGCCTGCAGGTGGATTATGAGGCTAGAGGCAGAGACTGCTAGTTCATTGCTTTCTTCCAGTAATAACTGAACCCTGCTTCAGGGTAGGCACCTGGTGCCAGAATAGACTCCACTTCCCAGCCTTCTTTGAAGCTTAGGTGTGGACATGGGACAAAGCTATAAGTATTCTAAAATGTTTTTTTCAGAATCTTCTTTAAAAGGCAAGTAGCACACAATCTGTCCCTACTTCATCCCTTCCTCTTCCACCCTGCTGCCTGGGATCCCTAGCTGCCACCTTGGACGGGGAGAGAGGGCCAACCTCAGAGTTGCTGAGCAGAGGGAGGAAGGACCTGACCTCATGGAGGAGACCTGCTACCCAGGGCCTCACCTGCCTATCTCTGCACCTCCACGGCAGAGAGCAATAAACATCTATCTCTGGGGCTAAAATGCTTACACTTTGTGCAGGGACTCAAGCCTTATGGTCAGGATGATGGACCAGGTCTCTGAAGGTTTCATCATGCGGCTGGAGCTACCAAGATGGGCCATCTCTGGATTTCTTGTTGTGTAAGAAATAAAATGCCCTGGTTTAGCCACTGTAGCCAGCTTCCTGTCACATGCACCTAGACCCAACCCTGATATGCCTTGAAGGTGAGACTCCAGCTAAAAACAGTCATGACTTCTATGTCTTCATCAAATCATTACTAAAAGCTTTGTCAGATACATAAAAAAGCACAGTTCAAATGAAAGCTGAATGGCACAAAAAGCCAGCAAAACAAAAAAGGCAACTGTGTAGGGTGGCAGATGGTGGTTCCTCTTCACCTCTAGTCAGTACTGTGCTTTGTTGTCCTGTTTCTTCCCACTCCCTTCTTTCCTCCCCAAAAAGTCTGAAGAAAGCTAAAGCTCTTAAACACATACACCCATTAATGTGCAGCCTGAAAATAAGATCTAATCTCTTACTGAAGCTTCTTTCTTAAATAATTTTTTCAATCTGTCAAATGGCCTTTTATTTCAGTTAAATACACCTGACCTGGTTGACTAGAAGGTTGAACTGAGATCTAAACGCATAAGAGCAAGAAGTTAAAAAGCACTAATTTAAAAAATGGAAAGCCCACATAATTTATTATTCACCAGATTCAAAAGCCACAGGTATTGCAGATCAGTCATCCGAGTTTAAAAGGCATTCTCACATTATTCTTTGTGCTTTTCTCTTCATCCACTAAGCTCTCTTCCACTCCCTCCCAAACCTTCTTACAGTGCCTTCTGGAAAATCCCACAGATTGTGCCTTTTAAGACCTGCCTTGACTGAAGCCAGGCTCCCGGAGAACGCTGCTTCCCCGAGATTCCTTCAGCCAGAGCCTTCATAGGGCAGGTCTAGTGCTGGAGCTGGCGTCCTCCTGGCCACGCTCCTTTACTCACCCACCAGAAAGGCAACGAGCATTCCTCCAGGACTCATTTGGACTTCTCACCTTCTTCCCCTCCTCACTGTCTACTCACCTCCCAACCACTGCCTCTTATTCGCTGAGAATTCTGGCACTTGGCTCAGAGCTTCCATCCCCAGTTCCTGGTTGTCACCCTGAGTCACTTCTATGTCCCTTGACCTCCTGGTCTCTCTACCTCCAATCTTGCCTGATCCAACCCACTCTCCCACTACAGCCAGAGATACACTTAAAAAACACAAACCTATCATCTCAACCCTGCTTCTAACTCTTCACTGGCTTCCCAATGCCCTTAGGTTCAAATACAACCTATCTAATCCAGTCACCACAACCTTCCAGAACTGGCTCCTACTTACCTGGCCACGCTCACCTCTCTCCCCATCCTGGACTGTGCCATGCTTCCACTCAACCCCCCCACCTGTATTCTCTGTACTCCCACTTTAGGTCTCCACCTAGGTGTCAATTCTAGGGATGCACATCTACCCCGCAAATACATAAACCCAGTCCAGGTCGGGTACATGTGCTCATAAGCACCTGTTATTGGCCCTCATGCTGCCCTTATCTCCCCGGGTTGAAATCGCCTGTCTCCTCTATGTTACCCCAAAGACTGCATGTGCCAGCAGGGCAGGGACCACCCCTGTCTCGTTCACAGAGTAAAGTGCCTGGGGAACATTCATCGGATGAATTACTGAAAGCCTGCCTTCCCCAAGGAGTGATCTCACTAGGCAGTACTGGGGACCCTACTGGAATTTATTCTCCGTCCTCAATGAAAGAAATAAAGGTATTTCCTTTTCCTTTTTTAAATGAAAGATGGGCAGCCTTTCTACTTGAGGTACATATTATTCTTGTAAGCAAGGCCCGTATGTTAACCTCCAAAACCTCTCACATAGTACCTTGTACATGGAATGAAATTAAACATCTGTCAAGTGACAGACTAACAAGCTGATGAGCCTGCAAAGCATATCAAAATCATGCGTCTCCTGGGAGAGTATCTACACCTTAAATGTACAAGTATCTTCAAAGCAAAAAGTATTTAGGATGCTATGAATTATGACATTCTGAGAAGATATTCACATTTGGTTATTAACAGGTTTGGTTTCAAAGGAGCTAACTGATATTTTAGTAATATTTGCATATTTCTTCCTTGCACTGATTTCCAATTAATCACCAACTCTGGAAATTTGTCCTGTACAACATCTCTTCAATCCGGCCTTACCCCTCGCACTGACCGGAAGCCTGACCTGGGCCCTTGCCTTCCCAGGATGGACGCTGCCTGACTTCTGTCTCCAACCCCCTTCAATCCTCTCAGTTGCCTTCATAGTTCCGTCCAAGGACGTCTTAATAAAACCAGCCTCAACTCTCTATTACGGGAAAAACCAACTTCACAGTCTTTAGCCTAGCATTCAAGGCCCTTTACAATCTAATCTCAAAACTGCTACTCAAAATGTTTCAATATTGTCATCAAAATTATCTGTGCATTAGTTATCTTCCTCACACCTTCTCAGTCACGAGTTCCTTTCTTCTAATTCCTAACTCAATTTCTACACTGTTTGGGGGGATTTATTAATTTTGGAGATAGCTACTGAGTTCCTGCTGTGAAGATTTATCTCACTTACCTCCCTTCCAATATGTGTCAGATCTTTTCAGTTCCTCTGTTGGTAAGCATTATAACTTCAAGTAACAAAAGCCTGCCTTTATTACTTGTCCCATCAACTACAGACATTACCTTCTGACTTTGGGTCCCCAGCCATTCCGACAGCTCTTCTCCTAACCCATATTTTCAGATTTCCAATAAACACTGCCTTCGGTCACACTGTCCCCTGGATCACCTTCTTTCGTCCACCACACTGTTAAGTTCACTTTTCCCAATTCCATTCCTCTAGGATCCAGCTAAAATCCAGGCTCTTCTGCCAAGGGGAAGCCTCATGGCCTCTCAGTACACAGTGGAAACTCCCTCTTCTCCTGAATTCCTGGGGCATTACTAGTTATTCTATTAATCCAACTGCCAGTTATATCTGTGGTGCTATTTGGTTTGCACCTGTATTTAACTTGTCGTGTGTGTAAAGGCATGTTTTCCGGCAAGGCTGAGATGAGGTCTCTGTCCTAGCAATTCAGAATCTACCCTGACTTGCATATACTGGAGACTAGAAGCGTGCTTACTGATCGGTGCTAATAGAAAAGCGTCTTACCAACCTCCAAAGGCTGAGCTGCAACTCCTGCCTCAGTTTCCCAGGCTGGAAGTTGATACTACTACCCAGGTCTCACGGGCCCGGACTACCACCAAATCAAACATACTTCCAAGTAAACATACAAACTTCACCAAGGAAGAGCGATACTAGCGCCTGTCTTAATCTCGGAAAGACAGGAGCCATCGATGACACTTAGGTGGCAGGGATTCCGCGATCAAGTTCAGGGCGGCCGAGGAAAAGCCCGGGGCACCGGAGCGGCGGGGACTCGGCAGGGACGAGCCGGAGGCCGCCCGGGCGGAGAAGTCCTGACCCCCCGCCCTCCCCGGTGTCGGCGGCGGGGTGAGAGGAGCAAGTCGAGGCGCAGGAACGCGGTCTCTCCCCAGCAAGAGGCGGTGCGGGACCCGTGGGGGCAGGCGGGGGGCACCGGGAAGGGCTGGGGCGCCGGGAGCCTCAGTGAAGCCCGGCGGCGGCGGGCTGCGTCCCCGCGGGTGGGGACAGCCCAGGGCCACCTGGCCGGGACAGGGGCCGACGGGGTCCCGGGCAAGGCTTCCTGGGCGAGGGGAGGTACGCGGCGCGGAGTTCGAGGCGCAGCCGGCCCCCGCTCACTCCGGGCACAG